GCGACAGATTCAAATTTTTAGAGGAAGTTGTAAAAGTATGGGCGAAACGTTGAAGTATAGGAGCAACAGTATGCTTTATTCAAGTAAAAATATCGACTTTAATGTTCTATACTTCAAAGTAATCACTGGAATAGGATATATAACTTATTAATATATTGACATCAATGGATTGACTTGAATACGTGCAGTTAATACTAACTATATTATACACGTATTATCATATTTGCTGTACACCACATATCTCCACCTAAACCTCTATAATCAGATAGGTTCAGGAGAAATCAGATATCATTCCTGGTCGATTAATTGAGTTTGGATTATCATTTTTAAGACATTCCTCGCGAGGGCCGACACTAGAACCACATGCTATGGAACCGCTTCGCCAATTGTAACGCGCCTGCTCGACCAGGGGCGGTGTGTAATCTTCGGTTTTTACTTCGCTCAACGCTTCATACCTCGTGCTTCGACCGATCTTCTTCGAAGTTCGGTCCTCGTCTTCGTACGCAGCCCTTGTTATCCGGATTCCCGCAGAGTTAATTTCATTCGTACTAATCTTTCGCCTTTTATCATTCCTGGTCGATTGCAACCATAACTTCTAAGATATTCTAATTAGGACTCTAAGCATTAAAATCGGATTTTTAGTGAAATTCTCTACCTAGAAGTATGCCCATTGTCAAGGCAATAACCTATTTTGACTGAGATACAGTTGTTCAAGGTCAACAAAGTGAAACCTATCAATCACTTCCAATCGGAGGTAGTAGTATAGTACTACTGTGAACCCTGTCGCATACGTCGAAGAAAAAGGTTGAACTGTTTGTGAAATGGAGAAGCTTGGCCATGCACTGGACACACCTGCAATTTGATTGGTCAAAAGATTTTTTTCGAACATTTCATTGGCTACTCCGGTCGGTCGATTTTGCTTGGTCGATTCCATTGGCAGCCCCAGTGCATTTTGAAAAATCGAATTACTAGTATTATATTCTATTACTAGTATTACGTCTATCCAACTTGTTACAATATACAGAATTTATTGTCAGTTACTACCGGTAGTACAAGCATTGATGGAGGAATTGGGCGAGAATCAGAATACACATATGTTTGTTCAATTTGGGGCAACACGACATAATACTTCGTAAATTAACTGTTATATACTACGACGTGGGTCATCCAAACTCGAGCATGGCGACGGAAATGTCGTCGGGCTTGTTTTTCGTCAGCGTGGCCATGCGATACAGTTGCGCCAGCGAATAATGCGACACGTCACCGGGTTTCGTGTTGGTTTTAGCAATCAGCACTTGCCTGGCCAAAAGTTGGGGCCATTTCGACTTGAACCGGTCGACGAGCTGGTCTTTTCGAATGTGTACCTAATTCCAAAGCAAACAAATATAAAACCACGTAAAAACGATTATATCGCTGGACAGCATCATCATACCTCTTTGTTATCGTGGTTCATTTCGTTCACTCGAGCCACGTACGCGGCGGCCGCGGCGGCGGCGAACGGAAGCGCCGACTCTTGGGACGTGTCGGCGGGTACAAAGGCCCTGGCGTGATGGACAAGGCGACTGCACACGTCTGACGGGTGGACGGAGGTGACCTGAGCCGACGCGACCAACTGCAGCACCTCGTCCTTGTAAACGTTGTCGCCGAACCCGTCGGAAAACGTCAGCACGATGTCGCACTTTTTGAGAGGAATGCGCTGGACCACGTACATGTCTACACCAACTAAGTTGTTAACAAGTCGGATCAAAACTGTATTGATAGACCTACGACATGAAAACGCGTCAAATCCGTCAAAAAATTGGACAAAAGAGCGAAAATTTCATTGAAAAAAGTATCCAATCCTTCAAAAAGGAATACAAAACAGCCAAATTTTCACGTGAAACGAATTCAATCGCCCAGAGCCGTAAAAAGCCACAGATACATGGAGGAATCGTACGAGATCGAAGCGGGTGGTGAGTGACAGTCCACGGGACGTTGAACTCCTTCATCACAGCTAAGGTTTCGTACGCGATGCGCGCTTTCCGCAGGACGAGGCACTTGGAATCGCCGACGCTGAAGGTGAAGAGATGCTTCCCCTGGACGAAGGACACGACGAGGGTGGACCCCATGGAGGGAGACACGTGTCGGCAGTGCGCTTGGGCCGAGATGATGGCTCGGACGATCATGTTCTCGAAGTCTGCGAGGTGGACAGGGGGCGGGTCGTGCAAAAGGACTTGCTCAACCGCGTGGACGAGAGCGCGCGCGAGTACCGCCGACGGACTGGGCGACAAGGATGGACCCGCAGGGTTGTTGGAAGGATGTGTGGAAGTGGATATGCCGTCAGCAACGATGTGATACCGCGGTCCAACTGCCATGGCGTCTTCGCCGTGCAGGACGAACGAGGCCGAGCCATGGCGCGGGAACGAGTCGTCCCGCCGCCGACGAATGTGTCGCCACATCTGTGTCAGTTTGTTCGTGCCAGGCTGCGGCGTGGTCGGGTGCATGTGCTTCTCGTCCGCTAAGACGGGCGGTTGAACAACCTTCTTGTCAGTTGGATGCGGCTGCTGAGGCGTGCCCGGTGTCTGCGGGGTTCGCTGGTTGTTGCTCGCACCCCGCAGCATCTTCATGAAGGACGAACCGCCTTGAAGTCGTTGAACCATGACGACGTCGGACCAATGCAGACAGTCAGTATGCTGCTGTGGAATCGCGTTTGACACTGAACACACTTACACCTGCAGGCAGGGTGGTTGTCAAAAACCAGATAGTTTAACGTCCCATAAAGAATCGAATAAAACGTGTTTGAAATCCCTCCTCGTGGTATTTAAAATACACCCCTTAATCGATCAATATACCACCAATGCAGGCGGTTGAAGCATGGTGTTTATTTAATTTTATCGGTGGAAAAGACATTTGAAATCCATTTAAAATATCCAATGAACGCCCTTATCCAGTATCTCCTGTTTTTACGCCCGTTAAGCTGGATGTTGATGTCAATGAAATAGTGACCAGTGGCCAGATCACACTGGCAAAGTGTGGCTGAACTTAACGCAGCCTTGCTAGCCCTCACTTATTGAAATTTAGACCACACCAACTCGAACACCATATTTTGGCCAAAAGCCTGTCGAAATGACAGCATATTTTAAAAACCTATCGAAAACATCTAGTCGTGAGAGTGGTTACTTTTCAACACCACACCGAACCTGAATGATATCCGGACTATTGTCGCACAACGCCGGTCTCAAAATACCCTAAATAACGCGATGAATGGGGCTGGGGTCCTGTACAGTAATCGTGCGAAGTGTAAGTTACTAGTATGTACTTCACACTACTAGCCTCCCGCAGCAGCGTTATTGTGACAAGTCAACCTAGTCTAAAAGCTCCCATAGTTGTGTGCCCTTCCAATTGTGATCCTGCCTGGGTCTTATTTGGAACTGTTTATACTTTAGTTGATTTCTTAATTGGGAACTGGAAATACCTGTATATTGACAACTCAGCGACATATAATATTTGACAATCCCTCAGCACAGACAATACTCGCAATAATGAATAATGTACCCATTTGAACAAGGCGGCAAATTGCCATGATGGCGCCAATACACCATCGACAACATCATCGGCTTGCAACAGGCCGTCCAGATATTAAACACACGAAAGCAGTCGCAAACAAACATCAACGCGACTTCCAAACGTATGCAAAGAAGCTGCATATCATCAACTGGCGCAAGGATCACTCCATGGAAGAAGCAATTGACAAGTTCTTCCCTGGTGTGACTGGAACGCAATACAAAACCGTGTGGAAACGCATTCTTCGCTGGGAATCCCAGCGAGAACACATAACAAGTGCAGCCGAACAACCATCAACAAGCAACAATCGAACGATTCGACGCCAAGGCACGGCCACAACGCTGTCCTACACTGCGGAAGAGCATATAGCACAGTGGGTTGCAGAACTCCGGCAAGATGGAGTACCCGTAAGCAATTTGTTGTTGGCCAGCAAGGCCATGGAAGTTGCTTCTGACGAAGGTCTATTCGACCACCAATTCAAAGCAAGCGCTTCCTGGATCAAGGGGTTCATAAAAAGACGGGGTTTAGCGATCAGAGCAAAAACTCGACCAGGACAAGCTAACCTTGAGGACGGTAAGCAAGCGCTCGAAGCATTCAAGACATCCATCCGCCAGCAAATCAAGGACAACGACATTGAAGACATCTACAACGCCGATCAGACTGGAATCAATTACGAATACATACCGAATACATACCGAAGCAAACCATCAACACCAAGGGCGCAAAGCGGTGTGGATCAAGTGCTCTGGCCACGAGAAGGACCGAATGACAGCAATGGTGTTGGCCGAGGCAAAGGGCACCAAGTATCCTCTTTTCCTTGTCCTAAAGACAGCGGAATCAAAGATAAAAGCAGTCGTGCAAGATAATCTCAACGAACGGCATGGATTTGGTCGTCGCGTTTGGAAGGAAATTGTCAGCTTGGAAGAGAACTTCCCGCTACAGATCTACGGCAATCCATCAGCATGGTGGAATAGCGGCATTTCCTTACGGTTTTTGGATTTCCATTTTGGCCATTGGTGTGGACAAAACGTGAAGAAAGTCCTTCTTCTATGGGACGACTTCAGTGCTCATTTCACTGATGATGTTGTTCAACGGCCAGCTGAGCTACATGTCGTCTTGGCTCGCGTACCTCCAACGTTTACTTGGATGTGCCAACCGGCCGATGTTGCATGGATGAAACCTATCAAGGCGACAATGAGAAGACAATGGGTCGCATTCTTATGCACCCAAATCCAACTCAATGATGGAGGGGGTGGCAAGGCATTCCACTTGGGGGCACACCTGAACGATGGGACCTTGTGGAGTGGATTTCGGAAGCCTGGGACACGCTCCCTGCAACAACAATCATCAGCGGTTTTGTCAAGTGTCAAATCATTGATGCTACATGCGAAGAAACTAACCTCGGGGTCGATGCGCATGACGACGCCGTTGCAGATCACCTACTAGAAGACATATTAGAACTTGGTGACGTCGAGGTCCTGGACACAAACCTTGAAATCGTTCTCGACGTCGAAGGAAACGAATAACTAAATACATGTTTCTTCATTAGTATTGAGATCTGAATGAATTTGCCGACTTACCTTGCTGGTGTCTTTGTTGGCATTACGATTATAGACGATATTGCATGTCTGGATGAGAAAACCCTCAAAAACATTGTTAAAATTGATATCTTGCATAAATTTCTTTTGCCATAGAAATCAGAATATAATTTTTCACAGGATCCCGCCAAGTTGAATGTTCTGCCCCGTCATAAACGTTCCCAATCAAGAAATCAACTAAAGTACATGATTTGGAGCTGTTTATACTTGTCCTTATATCGTACGGTGCAGAACGGATATGCCTCGTTTGCGACTGCAACGGAAGGCATTGGGCGTCTACGGTAGGATTCCCAGCAGGTCTGTACATTTTTCAGTCGGCCCTTGATTGCAAGTTACTACTACTCTGGTCCTATCAAATGTATCGACTTTTTTGTTATTGGCGGAATTTTTCTAATTCATGGTGTTTCAGTATTCTGATTGGTCCGCCAGAAAGCGCGTTATCTCTGCTTTGATTGGATGTATTCTGAGTGATCTAGACCTCTTTTGCTCAAAAATTATGGCGGCAAGAAATTGGTGTCTCACGAGGTAGCATACATAATGAACCGCTTAGGTCTCAAATTAACTTTTTACCTGTGGTGCTCATTACACTTCGTCTTCAAAGCCTAGTCCTACGACCAACTGTGCTATCGCCGACCTCATCAACTGCCAGCAGCACTACCCGAGGAATGAAGAAGCTGATCGATGCGAAACGACATTCCATCTACGAAACACTACTTGAGCGAAGTGTACGTGGTGAGCTCCCTTACGGGTGCATCACCCAAGCTGCAAGCAAGTTCCAATGCACCTGCAAGACCATTGCGAACGTATGGAATCGTGGCCGCCTCTCGCTTCGCGATGGCAGTCCGACCGCTGATGTGTGGGCGAAATACAAAGAAAACCCTATGATTCTATATTTCACTCTTACATTATACAATTGCACAAGTACTCATTTAAAGAGTTTTACTGAATTAGGAAACACAAATCGAAAGCGTGTTCTCACGGATGAAGAAATTGAGCATGCGGTCAAATTGGTTCCGCTACACGCACGCCAGACCATGCGAACTTTGGCAGCGCAGTCCGACGTCAAGAAGACGACCATCATCCGCCACATGCAACGAGCCAAGACGTTGATGAGCAAGACAAGCCACTCCAAGCCGTACCTGACCGACGCCAATGCACTTGGACGGGTGCAGCATGCTCTGTCCTTCATCAAGCCGACGTCAAAAGGAACCATTTTTGACAGCATGCACGCACATGTGCATGTTGACGAGAAATGGTTCTTTTTGACAACTGTCAAGAAGCGTTATTATGCCTACGAAGACGAAGACCTGCCGACGCGCCAGTTAAAGTCCAAAAGATACATCACGAAAGTGATGTTTCTTGCCGCCGTTGCAAGACCAAGATACGACTACCACAACAAATGCATCTTCGACGGGAAGATCGGAGTGTGGCCGTTTGTCGAGAATGTGCTGGCCAAGCGAAACAGTCGTAATCGGCCAAAAGGTACTCCATTTTTGGTACCTCAAACGGTAACCGCCGAAGTTTACCTCAAGATGATTCTCGAAAACGTCGTGCCGGCGATTCAGGCAAAAATGCCTCGACAAGATCAGAGTAAAATAATATATTTGCAGCAGGATAACGCAAGTCCACACAATAGTGTGACTACGCGAATGCTGCTTGACTCTGGTGTTTGCGGCATTGAAGCAGCAAATCAACCGCCGAATAGTCCCGATTTGAATGTCCTCGACTTAGGATATTTCAATTCAATTCAAAGTCTACAAAGCCAAAAGTGTACTAGAACCATAGATGAACTAATCGGAGCAGTAGAGAGCTCATTTGATGAATTACCGTGTGATACATTGTCGAAAACTTTCATCACTTTGCAAAAGGTAATGGAATCGACTCTTAAAACTTTGGGTAGAAATGATTACAAGCTTCCTCATATGAGGAAAGATGCTACCATCAAGGACTTGACATTGTTTAATGTCCGTTGCGATCGTGATGTCCATGAAAAAGCTCTGGCTCACCTGAGCAGCCTATGAATTCCCAAAGACGAGTAGTCATATGTAGTCATCGTAATATAATAAAAAGTTCATTAAATTTTGGTGATCAAATATGTGTTTTGATAGGTACATACATACAAACATTAAGATGTTTTTTCTTTCGCCCAATACTTTAATCAAGATAAAAATTCGATACATTTGATAGGACCAGAGTAGTACTACATAATGAAGTTATTTGACGACTGTGATTGGCTATAAATAAATTCACATATCCAATCAAAACCAATTATACCTGGACATCAAAAATTGCTCGGAAGTTGGTCTCCGTGCCTGTTTGCTGTGCTTTGGGGGTACCTTAACTGACAACTAGCATAGTGATAACGATAGGAGATGATATACTGGTGAATTTGCCCGTCATTGATGCTCGCATTAATGACGAGCAACTCCACTACAGAGTAAACCAAGGCGAAGAGTTCTACCAGAGTCCTCAACCATGCAAGCAGTCGCATTGAGATGACAATGCGACGTATGGTTTGTGATATTCCCTTGCGTGTTTCCGTGTGTGCAATGTGATTTGGTGTGAATAACCAGTTGACGGACTCAACGATTACCGGTAGTTATAGATGTGGTAGTATATGCTAGCTGTTTGGGTTATAGCGGC